ATGCATATAGAGTGGAATAAATATTGAGGAGATATATATACACACATATGCTCTCTGTATGTGTGTATATATCTCTCCTCAATCTTTATTCCACTCTATATGCATCCGAAGAAGTGGGCTGTAGTCCACGAAAGCTTATGCTCTAATAAATTTGTTAGTCTCTAAGGTGCCACAAGTACTCCTGTTCTTTTTGCGGATACAGACTAACACAGCTGCTACTCTGAAACCTGTAATAGGTTACATTTCACTATCACTTATATCAGCCTCTGTACCAGATGATTGGAGGATAGCTAATGTAAGGCCAATTTTTAAAAAAGTCTCCAGAGACGATTCTGGCAATTATAGGCCAGTAAGCCTAACTTCAGTACCAGGCAAATTGGTTGAAACTGTAGTAAAAAACAGAATTATCAGACATCTAGATGAACACAATATGTTGGGGGAAGGGGGAGAGTCAAAAGTGATTGAGGCATGTAAAGTGAAATCATGCCTCAATCTATTAGAATGTTTGGAGGGTGTCCATAAGTATGTGGACCAGGGTGATCCAGCAGATATAGTGTACTTGGACTTTCGGAAAGCCTTAGACAAGGTCCCTCACCATAAGCTCTTAAGCAAAGTAAGCAGTCTTGGAATGAGAGGGAAGATCTTCTCACAAATTAGTAACTAGTTAAAAGATAGGAAACAAAGGATTGGAATAAATGGTCAGTTTTCACAAAGGGGAGAGGCAAATAGTAGGGTCCCCCAATAATCTGTACTGGGATCTGTGCTGTTCAACATATTATAAATGATCTGGAAAAAGGGTTAAACAGTGAGGTGGCAAAGTTTGCAGAGGATTCAGAATTGCTCAAAATAGTTAAATCCAAAACTGACTGTGAAGAGTTACAAAAGGATCTCCCAAAACTGGGTGACTGGTCAACAAAACGGCAGATGGAATTCAGTGTTGATAAATGCAAATACTGCATATTGGAAATCACAATCCCAACTATACATACAAAATGATGGGATCTAGATTAGCTGTTACCACTCAAGGAAGAGAGCTTGGAGTCCTCAGGGATAGTTCTCTGAAAACATCTGCTCATTGGCCGTCCAAAAATATTAACAGATAGGTAGGAATCATTAGGAAAGGAATAGATAATAAGACAGAGACTATCATAAGACCTCTATATAATAAAAATATATATTAGAATTGGAAAAAGTACAGAGAAGGGCAACAAAAATTATTAGGAGGGTATGGTACAGCTTCCGTATGAGGAGAGATTAAAAAGACTGCTTATCTTAGAAAAGAGATGGCTAAGTGGGATATGATAAAGGTCTATACAATCATGAATGGTGTGGAGAAAGTGAAGAAGGAAGTGGTATTACCCCCTTCACATAACTCTGGAACAAGGGGTCACCCCAAAAAATTGATAGGCAGCAGGTTTACTTCTTTATGTTTGTTTTAGTACTTCACGCAATACAGTCACCCTATGGAACTTGTTGCCATGGGATGTTGTGAAGACCAAAAGTGTAACTTGGTTCAAAAAAGAATTAGATAAGTTAATGGAGGATAGGTCCAGCAATGGCTATTAGCCAAGATAGTCAGAGACGCAACTCCATGCTATGGGTTTTCCTAAGCCTGTGTCTGCCAGAAGCTGGGTCTGTATGACAATGGATAGATCTTTTGATAATTGTCCTGTTCATTCCCTCTGAAGTATCTGGGCTAAATGGACCATTGGTCTGACCCAGTATAGACGTTCTTAAGCTTTTCTGGGTCAAAAATAAATATTATATTATTATTATTAATCTGGAAGATAATGCAATAAATACTTACTTGTAACTTGATATGTTGGTTGTCCATTTAAATGTAAATCTAAGTAACCAAAGCACTGGTTTCATTTTTATAAGATTGCTTTTGTTTCAGGATATACACAACTGTGCGATTGGTGGAGTGTTGGAGTAATTCTCTTTGAAATGTTGGTGGGGCAGCCTCCCTTCCTGGCACAAACACCATTGGAAACACAAATGAAGGTAATTAAGAAAATCAGGTGTTAAAATTATGTTATAGTAATGTGCAAATGTAGTAGTTTGTATAATCCTACAAGCATTACCATGCTGAAAAAGCAGTCAGAATTTGTGTAAAACTTTCTAATTATATAAAGTGAGAGGAGAGTTTTAAGTGAAAAAGCAATATGCACAACTAGGTGATAAACTAACCCTATTTCTAAGCCAAAGGATATCTTTCACAGAGGCTGAATATTGTAAGATCTGATTTTATTAGTTTCACGCAATAATCCAAGGTTGTCATTTGTTCATGCTTTATCAAGAATTTGCTCTCTTACGCTATGCCATTCTCAATACCATACTTCTCTCAAACAGTGCCATGACTCGTGAGTCAGAGGGTTGGCCCAGCATCCTTTTTGTCAGACAAGCAATGTAACAGTGTAAAGGGGCATTCACTTGAGCACCTCCTAATTTCTGGATGGCAATCATTTTCTCACCCTTGGCACCTCTTACAGGCTGCCAGCCGACCTTGATGGGTCTTCAGTGGCTTCACCCTTCAGCCAAGTCACAAAGTTCAAATGAATCCTTTCATGGGTATGGAAGAGTCCAGTAACTAAATAGTCTATTTGCCCTTTCTTGGGTCTTCAGCCCCAGCTCTGGACTCTTTAAATTTGGGACTTTGTTCAGGTTCCCAAGTAAGCCTTGTTCCCTTTTTGGGGTTTACACCACTTCACCTGGGGCTAGAAGGAGAACCCGGGCCCGCTGTAACATAGTAGGGCATAATCCACACTAGTGGGGGGCTGTCAGCCCTGTCCTGCAACCTTGGGTGCCTTACAATTCCTTGCTGTAGTAACTCCCACCTGGGCTGCTCAGAGACTGCCTTCCAGCATGTATTCCACACCGAGTGTCTATGTAACTGCAGCCTCCCAGCTACACCCTGGCTCCTACCAGCCTTGGTTATAGTGCAGGGTCACCCAACACACCCCCAGTCCTGAATCTTCCCCCAGAAATGTGTGTCCTGTACTGTTCAGCCTTCTCCTGGACAGTACAAATATATTAAGCCCATTAGATCATTAAGGAAATAATATAACCGCTTATTACTTAAAATAGTTTACCCAGACACTTTAACTGAAACACACTGGATTAGATAAAACACTAAAACCAGCTTATTAACTACAAAGAGATTTTAAGGGAGTATAAGTAATGAGGCATAAATGTAAAAATGGGCACAAGAAGAATAAAGATAAAACTGTGATTGGTACCTACTTAAGAAACTATCTAAGGGCTTGTCTACACTGGCACTTTATAGCGCTGCAACTTCCTCGCTCAGAGGTGTGAAAAAATATCCCCCTGAGCGCAGCAAGTTTCAGCGCTGTAAAGCGCTAGTGTAGACAGTGCACTAGCGCTGGGAGCCACACCCTTCGTGGAGGTGGGTTTTTTAGAGCTCTCTCCCAGCGCTCTGCCGTGACGACACAAGCCATGTTAAAGTGCTGCCATGGCAGGGCTTTAACGTTGCCAGTGTAGACTAGCCCTTAGTTGCAAAGCAAACTTTCTCATCACATATTTCCAGCAAGGTTACCTGACCAAACTCTTCAGGTCAGGACCCCTCCCTCAGAATCCAGTGCTGTTTCCTTTTGTCTTCTCAGTTGCGGAGGAGGTGAAGGGCAGGGAGAGAAAGAAGGGTCCCTTGGTGTGTTTGTCCCTCCTTTTTATAGTTTCAGCCCCCCTCTTAAAAAACATTTGCAGCTGAGAACCAAGAGACCGAGTCTATGTGGAAGGATGTTCCCTGCTGTTTTTTTTCCCCCACCTGTTTGAACTTCCTTTGTTTTCCCTTCCTGCTTGATGACACTATTTACTGCTTAAATGCAAACAAAGGCAAGCACACGTTCCTTCCTTTGTTTAGGACAGACCTAACTTGTGCCTGGGCAGGGCTGTGAGATTTGGAACATGTGTTAATAACATCATAAGGGGAATCTTATAACTTAACATAGTGTTACCACACACATTTTATCAAGACAATACTGACTAGCAAATTGAGTTTTCAAATGATACCTTACAAGGCATAGCTTGTACAAAGATTATTACAATAGTGCATAGAGTATGAACACGGGTATATTCAGTCACACCCACTACTCTGGGTTCCAGCCCAGGGACCCCATAAACAGCAGCCACGTATGGCTTGATTCAGTTCATTGCTGCTTCTTCCCCACACCTTTTCCTATTTGCCCCCTTGAGCTTCACCTTTATCTCAGAGTTGTGGTTCTTAGGTCCTCTCTCTCCCTGCAAATCCAGCTACGCAAAATTGCAGTCAGAAAACAATCTGGCTATCCCTCAAGTTCCTTTGCCCAGAGAGGAGCACCTTCCTTTCCAGGTCCCAACAACTGAACTGCTGTCTGTTTGTCTTTGTGTTTTTGTTTCTTGGCACAGCAGTCTCATACAAGGCTATGACAGCCACTTTCTTCTTTCATTTTTAGGACAAGTTTTTTCTTAATATCCTTTGACTCAGTCTAGTAACATTAAGGAAATGCAGCAAGGCTTTTTTATGTGTGCACTATTCCATTTCCCTGATGTTCCCCTTTAGGGAAAAAATTTTTGATTCCAAGTTGTCTCAATTTTTCATAAAGAAACTTTCTTTCTATAGAATATTGCACACAGTGCCATAGAACATGGTCAACGGTTTCTTTGGTTTTGCACACACTACACAGTCTGTCTTTAAGTCTTTGTAATAAGTTTACCTTATCATTTAAGGCACAATGACCTGTTAACTCTCTAAAAATTACTACTTTGCTTTTTCTGTCATGACTGGTGTATCGTTGATTTTTTTAGTCATATATCATAAAATCTTTTGTTTCCTCGGTCCATAATTCTTGCCATTCCTTCGCAAGCCCCTTTGTGATCACACTTTTAAATTCTTGTCTACTTATGGGTATCTTAATATCAACCATATCCACCTCCTCATTTTTAGAGCTTGTCTTGCTACTTCGTCAGCCATCTCATTTCCAGGTATTCCAATATGTGCTGGAACCAATTCTATTGTTACACAGTTACCTGCTTGGATTATTTCCATAGTTAGGAATGTTGTTCGCTTATGTCATTTCTGCTTTCTAAAGTCCGTGTTCTGAGTGTCATAATACCTGACAAGGAATCATAAAATTACAGCTGCAGTCGGTCACACATCTCTTATCCAGGTTAGTGCCAACATTATTCCAGTCATCAGTACAGTCACATAATTCAATAGCCTTTTAGATTTCTGCATTCCAAAACTAGGACTACAAAAGGCTATTCCTACTCTACCCCGTGTTGTATTCTTTTGATCCATCTGTATAAACTTGGCAAAGGTGGCCCCGTTTTTCATAAATAAGTTCAGAAATTTCATTGGTCATAATGTATGGGTTGTTTCCTTCTCTCTCCCCTCCCCCTCCCCCCAATACAATTCCAAATCCACCAATGGAGGAATAACTGTCTAGCTAAAATCTCATTTCCTGTGACTAAAAAGTTTTAGTTCTGTTTTATTTTTATATCTCTCCTTTAACCATTTTTTTGACCCTGATAGTATAAGGACACCCTGGTCCTCCAGGCTTGGGGTTAGGCACAGGGCTAACAACCCTGTCCAATTTAAAAAACAAAACAAAATATGTTATGGAAACAGTGGCAGAGAAATTGACCATTCCTGTGTGTGATGGCCTTCAGGAGTCAGTGACCCGTATGACTACTAGTGGTGAAAGCCGAAAGAAAGCCACTGGTATGAAGACTAAAGTGCTCAACACCAATTCAAAAACCAAACTTGGTTTTTGGAACATACGGACAATGTACGAAACAGGGAAGCTAGCTCAGGTCACAGCTTACAAATTCTGGATGTCAGTGAAAGCAGATGGACAGGATCAGCAAGATTAACAAGAGCCTAGGATGAAACTTTGCTGTATTCTGGACAGGATGATGGACAACACCATAAGGGTGTTGCCATCTTTTTGAAGAAGAGAGTGGAGCATTCCCTGCTTGAGTGGAAGTCCATCAGCAGCAGACTTATGAGAGCTAGACTGAAAGGGAAACACAATATCACCCTGATTCAGTGCTATGCGCCAACAGATGACAGTGATGAAAAAGCAAAGGACAAATTCTACCTTGCATTACAGGCAGAGTTGGAGAGAGTACCATGCCACGACCTATCGTCATGGGAGAGCTGAATGCCAAGGTCAGTAAGGACAACACTAACAATGACAGAGCAATGGTAAGACATGGGTGTGGCACCATCAATGAAAACGGAGAGTCTTGTTGATTTCTGCAATATGAATGACTTAGTCATTGGCGGAACCCTATTTCGACATTGTGAAATGTTGGTGCTCTCAAAATGGCAGACACTCACTGACAGATGTGAAAGTGAGAAGGGGAGCAGATGTTGGCAGTCACCACCA